TATCATTTGATTTTCTTTAACATTTGATAAAATATAAAAGAAAAAAATAAACAACTCAGAAAGGCACGTTTTCTGGTTTGTCTTTGGTGGCATCAAGATAACCTCAGATATTCAACATTTTGTTACTAAGGATTTCGTTTTCAGCCATCTCTTTTCTTCGTTCTATACATGTTGTTCAATAGAATAGCCACTAGACACATGTGGTTATATGGAATTTAATTAAAATAAAAATTTTGGTTTCTAAGTCTCATCTGCCACATTTCATGTCTCGTGGCTACTGTGTTTGACAGCACAGAATTATGGTTTCCATTATTACAGAAAGTTTTACAATCTCATCTACACATATGGTTTTAACTGCCACTCAATCTTGGATGACTCCTTGACCTGTATCTCTAGCCAAAGATCTCTCTCCTGAACAACATGCCTTCATATGCACCTGCTGTTAGATAGGAATATTTTCACTTGATGTCCCATAGCCCTCATACTCAACTTATCCAAATCTGGACATGTTGTATTTTCCATGAAAATCACTTTTATTCTCTACACTCCCTACCTGTAGTGTTGAAGTCACTCACTTTTAGTGAGAAGTCACTGGAATCAGATGGCTGGTCTCCACTGCTTGCAGGTCAGGTCACTTTCGTTGAAACCAATAGCAATCTGGGAGAGCCTCAGCTTATCACTTTTTTTTTTTTTTTTTTTTTTTGATACACCTCTTCTGGCTGTAATATCTACCAGGTCATCGTGTTTTGTTTATTCTAGTTGTAGCTTATACTGAGCTCTGTTCTGAAGTCAACAAGTCCCTGACTGGCCCTCTGGGTATCACTCAGCTAGTCTTATGATTTTTTTTAACCCCAGTGAAATGCCATTCTTCACTTTCCGTAATTATGATACATTCTGAGTATTGCTATGTGTTTTTGATGTAACCACAATGAAATCTGGAGCATAAAAAAGGGTTTTGCTAAAATCAAAATACTATTTCTTTCTGCAGTCAGGGAAAAAGCCTAAGCTGGGCCACTGCTCTGTAGAACCAGATCACAAAAAGGCAGTGGTTTCACAGAAGCTTAAACATGGACTACTGAAATGGATTGAACCCCAAATGTCTATGGCATTGGTGTCATAAAAACACATTTACTGATTGCCTATTATGTAAGCGTCTGTGTTAAAGGAGAAATTGGGGTACCTTCAAGGACTTCACCGTCAATCAGGGAAGAAAACAGTTTAGCAGTTATCTTTAATATAAGTGAGGATCCAGTAGGATGGCCAGTTCAACAATTAACCTTTTCTAGTGGGCCTTTTGTACTGCAGAAGTTAGAAAGCTCAGTATTACAGTCTCAGATTCCTTTGTAGCTAGATTTTGGGTGTCATTGAGTTCTAATTTAATCCAGGTCTTCTATCTACAAATACCCAATCTTGGACAAGTTTCTTTGCCTCTTTGTACTTTGCTTCCTTTCAAGATGGAGGTTGTAACATTAATAAATTCTTGACAGAGTCATACGATTCATTGATACAATGAATGCAAAGACCTTAGCATACTGTCTGGTACCTATAAACACTCAATAAATTATTGCAATTATTATTAAGAGGAAGAAGTGGAATGTCCTTCCCATGTCCTGCTTCAGGATAAGTTAGGAGGAAGGGGACAGAAAGCATCACATTTACTTGTGATGGCTGGTGCAGACCTAGCAGATGCAACATAGCTCTGGAGCCAGCAGGTCTAATGGAAGCTCCTGATCATTAGATTCTAGCTCAGGGGTGTGATCCTTGTGCCTGCTGTTGGGACAGCAACTTCCTAATGGTTTAGCTTCCTATATACGGTGGAGATAACTAATCCTTAGGTGGACCAATTTTGCAGTGTTGTTCTGGGAATCATTTCCGGAGCTCCAGACTAGAGCTTGGGCCTCCAGACTTTCTAACGATGCTGTACTTAATTCCATATATTAAAACACTTTGCATTTAAAATAGTGAAATGGTTTATATCATGTAAAACTGAATCCAAACCTGATATAGGCAGGATAGAGGAAGTGTCATCATCTCTCTGCCATCAGCAAGCTGTGGTGGCTGTGTGAGGTCTGTGTGGCAGTAACTGGGTCACATCACTATTCCAGGTCTCAGTCTCTTCATTTATAAAATGGAAAGTAGTAGTGAGGCAGTACATGTAAATGGCATTCTATTTCTTCTGCTCACTGTGAGGAACTTTCCTCACTATTCTCTCTCAGGACCACCGATGGAGCAGGTGCCACAAATGCATACTTCTAACTGGTGCAGCATATCATATAAAACCATTTGTAAATAGGTTCAAAAAATTTCCCCCAACCCATTGGTTGTAGGGAACTCTCCACAAAGCCTAAATGTGGGCACAGAGAGAGACGAAAATGTAGTAGGAATACATATCATGGTTTTCTGGGACACTTACTCATGCAATTTACATGTGACTTCAGGACCTGCTTAAGACTTAGAATATATATATCACCTCCAATTGATAGAGTTCTGCTGTATGCCCAAATTTTTCACTTGATGGGTCAGACAACATCAAGTTCATTATGGGCACTGTGGGCTGTACCACAGCTTGGTGGCCTATGGTCAAGTGCTCAGTCTCTACAAGGGCCCAGATGTGATCCAAAAGGAAAATTGTTATCTAAGAAAATGGAATATCTTTGTTCAGAAACCTAATGTCTATCCAGTGATTCACCTAGAGGGGCTGGAATCTGCTGGAATCAATCTGCTACAGATACTTCAAGCAACATTGGATCTGCTGAGTATATAACCCATGTGATAAAACAGCCTGCACTGCAGCCTGGACCTATTCCAGATCTTTCTCCTATTCTGTGCACCATTCAAAACTAGCAATCTTTTGGACTAAATGTACAATGGGTTCAAGTAGCAGACCCAAGTGAGGTATACATTGCCTCTAAAATCTAAAGAACCTCATTAGGCACTGTGGCTCTTCCTTCGTAATAGGAGGGCAGAAATTTTCCCTTTGCCTTTGAACATGTATCTTGACATGTCCCAGACCGCTGATCCCCTAGAAAAGTCACCAGTGTGACTTTTGGTGACAAAAACCTCAGAATTCGGGGGTGATATATTTCCATGCATGTGTCACACAAGTGTTAGAATAGTTGCTACTTCCTGTTCACCTGGTTAAATCAATATGATCTCATCAGTGAAACAGACCGATGTGATGTCTTACAGAACAGAGAGGTAATCAATTTCTCTTTGACTAGAATTTGACATAGGTTTGGAAGGTTGATATAACCTTGAGTGTACGAGTAATCCCAACAGCTGAAATCAAACTGCCCCTGATGATCTTTAATAACAGGTAAGAAGAAGAAAAAAAAAATAACAACAACAACAAAAACCCAGCATACCAGTGGGTAGGGAATGTACATCTTGTTCAAGCAAAAAAGAAAAAAAAAAACTTCCACACATCTGGATCCATACTGTAGTTGGAGTCAGCCCTTGATTAAATGTACAATAATCCATTCTCACTGTTTATAGACTCATAAGCAAATTCAGTTTCTAACACGTAAGTAAAAAAGTGCAACTCATGAGAAGGTATAATATACCCCAAAATAATTGTGAGGTTTTTCCAATTTATACCAACAAAAAACTGGAGAACATGAATGGGAACTGATCCTAAGGATATTAGAGCAGAGTGGAAGAAATATAATATTGGAGCAGACAAAATTTATTGACTACACTGTACCAGGCTACAATTATAGATTCAATGTGTATGAGCCACTAAAAATGGCTCAAATAGTTTGCTTGGTTAATTGCCTAAAACATGGGACCAAAGGAAGTATATACTGAATGAAGTTGAAATGCCCAAGGAAGGCATCTAAAGGCTAAAGTGGATTATTATGTAGGACCTCACCTCCCGTCTATGTCCCCTGTGAAGGTCCAGAGACACTTCCTTCACCAAAGCTATGAGAAATACATTTATGAAGGGAATCTCGACATGCTTAGGATGTAGCTCCAATGTGGCTCTTCTCTGTTGGCAGAAATGACAGTGGGAACTGTTGCCATTGAATTGAACAACCTAAATTCAGTGAGGATAATGGTATCCTGGGGTGGCAGGTGCTGATTCAAGTCATATTTCCATTTATTTCTGCTTATACAGATCAAATAAGACTTGCATGGGCTGCCCATCTATTTTTGCTCTAGAGACAAAACAGTCAGTTAACCAATGCCAAAGATCTCTATGGATCAAACCATTCTGACTACTGCTTTGGCTCAGCTCCCATCATGGTAGCCAGTCCACCGTGTCCTCCAGATTGGAGACAGAAAAAAAAAAATCCCACTTAAAAATAATGTTGGTTGTCAGAAACTATAGAAGAGGAAATCTCTTACCGACTTGGAATTAAATATTAAACAAATACTTTAGCAACAAAATTAAAAAATAAATTTAAAAGTCAGAAAAGAAAATCAGTAATTACCAGGAACTAGTATACCTTTACTATGAATAATCCATATTAAATGGTCTCATTTGTTTGTTTTTTAAGAGAGAGAGAGAGTGCACATGCATGCATGTGCAGGAGCTGGGGGTGGGGAGGGGCAGAGAGAGAGAGAGAGAATCTTAAGCAGGCTCTTGCCCAGCGTGGAGCCTAACTTGGGGCTCCATCTTACCACCCTGAGATCATGACCTGAGCCCAAACTGACTGAGTCCCCCAGGCACCCTTCATTTTTTCTCAAATGAGATTACTAAATCAGAAAAAATGTTATGTATGGTATGATGAAACTGACCCTACGTTTCCTGTAAACAAATAGTATGATAAAGAAAACCTGGATTTCATTAATAGTAGTGTGGTGGCAAATGAAGAAAAACTACACTCTAATCTGTACTGGTCAGCCTATATATGAACTGCCAGACCTGTGTTGAATATGATATTTTCAAAGAAAGGTTAACCAAACAGAATACCACAAACAAGAGACAAATTCAATAAGGGCTCTATATAACCCATCACATGAAGAACGGTTGTAGGAACTGGGGTTTTTGTGTCAAAAAAAAAAACAACACAAACTACTTCATTGGGAGAATACCAGTTAGCTGCCTTTATTTGAAGTGTGACCACATGGAATACAAAATTGATTTATTTTGGGTAACTTCAGAGGAAGATCTAGGATTAAATAGATAAATTTCTAGAGAGGAAGATTTGGGTACAATGTTCAGAAAAACTTTCTCCTTGCTGCAGCTGCTTAGCAGTAGAATTAGCTGCTGTGAAAAGCCAGGGATTCTCTGCCTTGCAAATGTTTTTGCAGAAGCTCGATCTGCAGCTGCTGTGCATATTTTGGTTGAGGGCATTGCTGCAATATGGTAGGATGCTAAAGCAGGTGACGTTTAAGGTCCCTTCCAGTCTCAGCTTCAATGAGCCCATAAAGAGTAAGCAGAATGTAAAAGAAGAAGAACTTGAGATGCACGGCATAGGCATTGACAGGATGTGAGACACAAGGGGTTTGTTTCAGAGAACTTGATCCTGACGTATTTCCCATCCATAATGTAGCAATCTGATCCTTCCTATCTGCCTAGAAACACAAGCGTTAATGACATCGGACCTATCATTTTTCTCACTTCAATTTAACCCATCAACAATGATACACTGATTTAGATGTCATGCCTTTCCCTGAAAATAGAGATATGTGAAAGAAACAGTGGGCCAGGAACAGGAAATGGGAAGCTGTAGGATCTAATCCTGGTATTGCCAAAAATTCACCATCTGTTTTTTTGAGCAATTCCTTGCAAATTCCATGTGGCTTCACCCAGGAGGAGAATTGTGAGATGTTTGTTAAGATCTCAGTGTTAAACTGAGTGCAAATAGCCCATCAGATACAAGATCTAGACTCAGGTGCAACCTCATGACTTTGCCTCTCATATTTCACATTGGTTGCAGCCCTGAAATGAAATCTAGCTCACGTATTTTTTGTCTTGGGTTTTAAGGCTGAAGTGAGAATTTAGCAGAAGATACCATGATTCGTCCTGTCGCTACAGAATTCTTCTAAGGGGTTGAGGCAATCGAGTGGAATAAGAAAAGTATGGATCATGTCTCAGTCACTTCCAAGGCCTCAGAAGGAGTTCTTCCCTAGCCTCTGAGGAACTGGTATCAGCAAGGAAATCTGGAGGCCTGGCCCCCTAACTGCCTTAGGAGCACGTTGTGGGAGGTGCAGACCAAAGGTGAGTTTACACATCAGTGACTAAAGTTTCCTGCCACTAAGCATAAGAAGTCACTCATGAGCAGCATCCCTAAACCACAGGTACAGGATGTGGGTACAAGCCCTTGTATAATTGCTGGCCAAAAGCCAATGAGCATTCATCTCTGTGCAAATACTTGGGCTTTTTTTTGTTGTTAACCTTTGAAAACCACAGGCATTAGTCTCTCTTTCTTCCCCTTGGCACAAGTCATCTTCTTTTCTCCAACTTGGTCTCTTGTGTGTAAAGAATTTCTGAGGAGCTTTTAAGCCTAAATTTAATACTTTTGCCCTCCCCTCTCCTGCCCCACAAAATGCCAGGCAGAGGTAAAGCCGCCTTACAAAATATCTGCTGGCTCTGCCGGCTTCCGCAGCTTTGTTTGGGCTTTTCGATCAGATAGGAAATCAGAGTTCTATGAGTGACCTTAGCCTTTAAGAAAAGACAGGTAATTTCTGGAAATTCCCCTTAAACAACGAAGACCTATTGTTTCCTCACCTCAGATTTAACCCAGCAACTATGATGCCCTGATTTAGATGTTATGCCTTTCTCTGGGAATAGAGATACATGCAGAGAGCAGTGGACCAGGCATAGGAAGTTGGAAGCTTTAGAGTTTAATCCCCAGTACCAAAAACTCACCATCTGCTTTTTGAGCAACTTTTTTTTTTTTCCAGTTTCAATGCCTTTGCTTCCTGTTCTGTGAAATGAAAGCATTGGGTTGGGTGGTTTCTATGCCTCCTTAGCCCCAGGGCTCTGTGCATCAGCTTTCTTAGTGTTGCTTCTGCAAGGGGACAAGGATAACAGGCCTCAAGGCAAAAGATCCAAAGCACAGCAACTGGCTTCTCTTTTCTGCCTTAGAGAATGGCCAAAGATCAGGCCTCCAAAGAGGCCCAATTGCCCACTTGAAGGTCAGGCTTAGCATTTCTTGACAGCTCTCCTTCTTGTAAACATTAGAGAATCTACCAACCTTGCCTCTGTACCCAAATATCCCACATCCTGGTGAGAAAACCCAAGCTAACCCCACTCCAGCAAAATAATTTTTTTTTTTTTTTTTTTTTTTTACTGAAAGAGATGGCAGATGGATGTTACAGAGTCTAAATCAAAAGAAGGAGAATATTCTAACCATCAGAATGACCCACAATGTATCAGGAGACCTTGAACAATCTGTCCATAAAGATGTTCAAGCAGGGCGCCTGGGTGGCTCAGTCGTTAAGCATCTGCCTTCGGCTCAGGTCATGATCCCAGTGTCCTGGGATCGAGTCCCACATCGGGCTCCTTGCTCGGCAGGAAGCCTGCTTCTCCCTCTCCCACTCCCCCTGCTTGTGTTCCTGCTCTCGCTATCTCTCTCTCTGTCAAATAAATAAATAAAAATCTTTAAAAAAAAAAAAAAGAAAGATGTTCAAGCAGTTTTTGAAAAGAGACGTATCGGGGATTTTCTAGTGGGAAAATATCCCTGAATGGGATAAAGATCAGATAAAGAAGATGGCTAACCATGACATTTTTATGATGATATGCCCAATACTTAATGCCCCTTGTAAATAATCCTATCCCCAATCAAACTTATGATGTGCCTCTCAGAAACCTTATTGGTAGTTCAGATGACAGTCTGAATGAAAAGCCCAGCCATATAGTAGGTCCCCTGGTTTGTGGTTTGTATTTCCTGTTGAGCTTATGGACAAGGAACCCAAGTGAGAACATCATGTGTCAAATGGGAGAATGATGGTCAGTAGGTCTATAGTGACCGAGGAAAATTTCCCAGAGGGAACTAAATATAGTTCTCTTGGATGTTGCCTTGCTTTCTGCTTCCAAGTTACCACTCTACAGGCAGGTAGTCAATGTTTTATTTCTGCTTTTGTTTTTGTTTTACTTGATATAATCATTTAACCTCATTTCATTCAGTCCTCACAAGATCTTTATGAAGTGGGCAGTAAAGGTATCACTGTATCCATTTTACAGATGAGGAAATTAAATCTTAGGAAAGTTAAGGTAATTTTCTAGGGTCTCATTTGAATGATTCAATTCTTTACAAAGAAAAAAAAAACATTTAATTATCTAATCATCAGCAACAATTCTTTGGAGGATCATAATAAGGTCTCTAGCCTTAAAGTATGATATCAATCACCCATCTATCAATCTTGTTCACAATATCCACTTAATCTAGTCCCTAACTGAACACATCAAGTGATGGCAGGCTCCCTCTTCTAAGGAGCAACCCATTCCGTCTTTGACATTCCTACCTAAAAGAAGTTCTTTCTTATCTTAAACTGCCTTCCAGATTCCTGAATCTTTTCATGGAATGGTAATAACTGGTAATAACCCAGTAATAACCTACTTCCTAGGTCCCACGTATCAGTTTATGGGATATCCCACTAGACAGTCTTTGTGAAATGTGAAAAGCATTCTCCTGTCATCGCTAAGTTCACTCTTCTCCATGTTAAACAGTTTTGGTGTTATTAAACGCTTATCCTATTTGTTAGAGGCTAGACCTCAGGGCTAAGAGACATCTCCCTCCCCTCACCTTTTGCAGAGTTGGTGCTGTACTATGTCCTTTAGAAAGTCACTTCGGAACAGTCTGTCCCAGGTTACGACGAGGACAAATGTGCAGAAAGAAGTCTATTGTCAGGCTGATCCTTAAATGGTAGCTCAAAAGAATGTGCTGGACATTTCAGATGCTTCTGCCAACAAATGCCACTATCTTGAGGCAAATAGGGATTTTCGGGCAGCACTGTTACAATAATTTGCCAATTATGCCTGCTTCAGAACCACTGCCAAAACAATCCAACGACTTTTCATTCCACTACTGTTGACAGGACAGCTAAGGATTTCAACATTTCCTTTTACAGTCTGAATAGAAGTTCTCTGCCTTGGGGACTATAACAATATTTGCCATCATGGGGCTGGGGCTTGGGGGGAAGTGGGTGCTGGGAAGGTTTTTGGAAAGAGGGAGAGAAAGAGAAATGCTAATGGAAGTAAACAAAGACAAAGACTAAATAAAATGAGGGTTATTCAAAGTGTGGGTTTTGAATGCCTGCATCAAATTGATATTTGTTAATGAATCAGAGAACAAATCTTTGAAATTGAGGAAATAAATTTTTAGAAAAAAAGACTTTAAAAATACACTCTGCACAACCCCCACCCCCCCAACAACAACAACAACAAAATAGCTGGAAGTTTTAACTTGAATACCAACCAAGGTGTCTTAACTTTGGGTCTTGAGACAGACTTGAAAATCTGATTATAATAATATTTATGGTGTTCATCATTCAAAGCTTCTTTCCAAAATAGATTAAAAAAATAAAATTGTAAAATTGAAAAGGCAAAACTTGAAGAGATGTGATAATCTCCTGAAGTGTTCATCAGGGAAAGAAAAAGAGAAAATATGAGAGAAAAGAGCAAAGGAAACAGAATAAGGTAGGTCAGTATTTTTGAAAACATGCTCCTCAAAACTTTCTGGGACCCATCGCCATTCCACAGGGGGCAGCTCTGAGACCCCCCAAAAAAGAGGAATCCAGAGGCACTCCCATGTCCACTTCAATCTTAGTGGCCTCACTTATCTGTTTTACATTTTAGGTTTTACATTTTAGGTGTCCAAAACAGATTTCAATAGAAGGAAAGGGTCTGCTATTGGAAAATAAAATGAAATAAATACTTGAACAAAAAACTGCAGAAGAAAATGAGCTATTAAAAGTTCTTGAGCAGGGAGTGATAGGGTCAAATTGTGCTTTAGAAATCTGGCAACCAAATGCAGGATGGATTAGAATAGAGTCAAGCTCGGATCAAAGATTCCAAATAAAAGGCTATGGCAAAATTATCCAGGAGAACAGAATTAGAGACTTGATCTAATAATATATACCTGTGAAAATGGAAAGGCAAGGAGTTCATGAACAATTTTTAAAGAAGAATGAACTTTAAGTTTGACATCTGGGCATTGGGGTACAATGCTAAGCCACACATAAATTTGGTACTGCTATGCTCTGACAGTTTGTGTCCCCCCAAAATTCATACGCTGAAAGCTTAAAGTCCAATGTGATGGTATTAAGAAGTGGGGCCTCTGGGAGGTGATTCGGTCATGAAAGCAGAGCCCTCATGAATAAGATTAATTCCCTTATAAAAGAAACACAAGAGAACCCTCTTGCCCCTTTACCATGTGAAGATATGACAAGAAGTCTGTAACCCGGGAAGAGGGCCCTCACCTGACTATGCTGGCACTCTGAACTCTGAATTCCAGCCTCCAGAACTGTGAGAAATACATTTCTGTTGTTTATAAGCCACCCAGTCTGTGGTATTTTGTAATAACAGCCTAAACAGACTAAGAAAGATACCATATAACATTATTTGGCAAGGAATTTAGATATATCAAAACTGACGGATTTCAGGGACGATGACTGGAACCATAAAAATGCCACAGAGAACTCCAGGAGTTTGAAGATGCTGAGTGTGAGTGGCCATTGGAACACGGATATATATGAACAACAGAAAGAGATACAAAACTGAATCTTGAAGAAATATCAGGGATAGAAATATGGATTTGGAAGTCATTCTCATAAAAAGAGTAGCTAAATAATACAGTCAGACCCCAATAAAAGAAAAAATCAGAATCAAAGGGCTCAAGATCAAGATCCAGAAAATGCCTACATTTAGAAGACAGAAGAATAAGAACCCAGAGAGTCTCCCCTCAGTTTATGATCAGGTATTCATTGACAACATTATTTGAGGAGCTTAAGAGAATGTATTTTCTGGTTTTAGGAAATTTGATTATTCATATATGAGGTCTGAGGTGTGCATCTATCAGTTTAATCAAGCTTTTAGATTTCCTAAGACACTAAGTATTCAACATCATGTAGCACTATTTAAAAGTAATTAATTGTTTCAGTCCAAAAATATGGTGGTCTGAAATAGAATCTTCAATAAAGATATATTGATGGATGACATACTTATACACCAAAAAGAGTCTCAAAAACCAATACTCCCACGGGCAAGGGAATAGCCAAGTTTGTTGCGGTTTCCAATGAATGACATCAGCCCCATGTAGGTTTCAATCAAAATGGGTTCAGTTAACACCATCAGTCCCTTTCCTCTTCCAGATCCAGTGGAATTCTTGTGGGCATTCTGGATAGCTGGAACAAGCTTAGACGTGAACCCAGACAACTGAAGAGGAAAAGAAGGCACAGAGTTAGTAAATGTAGAGTAGGTCCAGAGACACTTCCTCCCCAGCCAGTCCTCAGCAAAGCTGACCACTCTCCTGGGGCTGCAACTATCCTTACTTTTATAGAAATCATTTCTCAGAATTGTCAACATGGCTTCTGTTAGCCTTTTAATAAATTAATCAGTCAATAAATTATGTACATAATGAACTTATCTGCCTCATCCTGTTTATTTTTCATCCTTCATAATTTGTACATTAAGAAGTCACTTCAGGGGCACCTGGGTGGCTCAGATGGTTAAGCGTCTTCCTTCGGCTCAGGTCATGATCCCAGAGTCCTGGGATCGAGTCCCACATCGGGCTCCTGGCTCAGCGGGGAGCCTGCTTCTCCTTCTCCCTCTCTCCCTGCTCATGCTCTCTCTCTTTGTGTGTCTCAAATGAATAAATAAAATCTTAAAAAAAAAAAAAGTCACTTCAATAAATATTTGCTGATGGCCTTTTATGAATCAGATACCTATTGGGTGCTGCTGAAGATTTAATGACAAGTAAGATGTAGTCTCTGTCTCCAAAGATGTGATACTATAATAATCTAAGAAATGAAAAATTTTTTTTTTAAGATTGAGAGATCTTTTTTTTTTTTTTTTTTTAAGATTGAGAGAGACAGAAAGATACCGTAGAAGCAGAGGGAGAGGGATAAGCAAACCTTGGTGCTAAGCATGGAGCCCGAGGAGGGGCTCAATGCCATGACCCCAAGATCATGACCTGAGCCAAAATCAAGAGTCAGATGCTCAACTGACTGAGACACCCAGGTGCACCTTAGAAATGAACTTGTAATGATTATACAAAGATTGTGAAAATAAACAGCAGAAGAGGCACAAGATGCTAAGAGAACACAAAAGAGGGAGAAATCATATGTAGTGAGAGGATCAGAAATGACCTCAAAAGGAAACTCTTGAGACAATCCTTAAAGGGCTCATAGGGTTTCATTAGGTGAAATGGGGTTAGAAAGGGCCTAGTCAACAGCTGTTGTTTTTTTCCAACCCAGCATCCTTTCCACCATTTGAGATTCTTCTTCCAACAAGAGTACCTCCTTTGTTCTTTGGAGAACCACCCTATCCCATTTAGCCCACATAGTTTAAGTGGTGCTGACTTTACCATATGGCTCAGGCCTAACCAATCAGAGGAGTCCATTTCTCTGGTCACAGAGATTGGTTCAGGATGGGTACATGACCAATGTTGTTATAAAACTGATAGAATACAAGCCTCCCTGGAGGTATTCATGGTCATTTTGCCACACATAGTGAGAAACTGACTGAGAAATAAGCCCACAAAAGTGAAAGAACTAAGATGTAGAGAAAGATGAATTCTTGACAAAGTCATGCAGATTACTAGATCAGCCAATCTTGAACTTTTAAGTTAAGTGAGTAAAAGAAAAATTCCTTCTTTTGGTCAAGCCAAGTTGAATTGGATTAAGAGGAGGGTAGTTCAGGGAGCATTCTAAACAGAGAAACAAGCAAGGAAATGAAGTAGGAAAGATATGAGCTCATATCCTTGTATTTCCAAAAAGCTCTTTTATTTCCATGATTTTTTTCTAATATAGATGCATTAGGTAGGTCAAAGAAGGTATCACCACTTCCATGTTAGAAAACCAAGGCTCATAGAAGGTAAATGACTTATCCACAGTAACTCTACTTTCTGCATCACAGTAAAAAAGAACACTGGGAATAAAATCTTATTCACAGTGAGATCCAAATCTGTTTCCTAGGCAACTGGCCACTAATCTAAATTAAGACTCTTATTAGAGCATATTCCAATATCAATTCAAATTATTAAGCATACTTATATAAAGTGATCATTGTTCTTCCCATTTGTCCATGAGGATACCAATCTCTGCTTTAAGAGATTAACACAAGAGTGATGATTCACTGAAGACAGAGAAGCCTGTAGTCTTTCCCCATAATACAATTTTCCATATAGATCTTATGCTGGATTCTTAATTTTATATTGCTCTTGAGCAAACCACTTCTTTATTCTAGTCTTAGTTTCCTTATTAGTAAAAGAAAAACTTTTAAAATTTAGAATGTATCTACTATTGCTAGTTAACCTAACCCATAAGCAAAAAAAAAAAAAAAAAAAAAAAAAGCCATGCAAATAAAACCTCTATAATTTTCTAACTGTGTGACATTATAAAGTCATTTTCCCTTTTTGAGCCTCAGTTTGTTCTTTTGAAAAGAAGCACTGAAATCTATGGATTTTAGATAATATCAGAAATAAAAAAAATAGTGACTATGATAATAAAACAACATAATTTTCTGGAGTTCCTCAATATTTCTAGGTTTTCAAAATAAAAAGATATATTTGCTCTACTTTTTTTTTTTTTAAGATTTATTATTTGAGAGAATGCAAATGTGAACAGGGGGAGGAGCAGAAGGAGAGGGAGCAGGAGAGAGAGAGCGAATCTCAAGTAGACTTCCTGTTGAGTGTGGAGAGACTCAATCCCATGACCCAGAGGGACTCAATCCCATGACCCAGAGACCATGACCTGAGCCAAAATTAAGAGTTGGACACTTAACCAACTGAGCCACCCAGGTGCCCCTGTCTCTCTACTTTTCTTTAAAGTTATATTTAAAGTAATTAAGTAATACCAAAACATTAATTTTAAAAAATAGACTCACTTTCACTGAGGCTAATGCATGTAATAACACAGAAATAGGGTTTTGCTTGTTCTCCATGAGCTTCAGTCTACAGCAGCAAAGACAGACAGAAGGTACTTTTTATTACTATTTGCAGTTCCAGCATCCTCTTTGAGATCTTAAAGAGAATCTAAATATTGCTGTTACTGAAAGATACATACTATAATCATACAGTCTGAGGATTCTAAAAGGAAGGACATCCTTCCTTTCAGCAAACTCCACCAGTGCTTTAGTTGATTGAATAAGAAAAGCAGAAAGAGTGATCTTTCTTCAACTTCCAAAAGAGGAAAGCAGAAAGGAAAGAATAAGTTAATAACATGGATATTTAATCACTATGTTTTAAAATCATAGAATCTCAAGGTCAGAAGTGATCTTGAGCTTATCAATTCACCACTCATCTATTGTTATGCCTTGCTACATCTTTACCAAGAAGCCACATCCCTCTCCATGGACATATCCAGTGACATGGAACTCACTGCTATCTAACCATGTCTACTTCATCACTGTATAGTGGGAAAATCCTTGGCATTAGATGTACAGAGCCAGGTATGTTTCCTTGCCCTATCAGTAACTGATGGTTAGACCCTGGATAAAACCATATAATCTCACTGAGCCTTAGTTTATACATCTGAAAATGGGCAAATAATAATGATGATGATAATAATGCTAAATGACAACCTCATCAGATTGCTGTATGAATTTAAGTGAATTATTCAAAAATATTTTATAAAGCATATTATTTATAGGTACAAATATTTTCATTATTTATAGGCAGAGAAGACTTTAACTTCCTTAGTCCCATTTCCTTCAATTCTATACTTGGAATGCCAATTGACTTAATATGAATCATAGACTCCATAAAACAATTTTTTAACTCTGATATGAGCTTTTTTAAAGTAACAGAGTTCTCTGGATGCCAAAGGATACATTAAATTCTACTCAGAAACCATGATTTCAAAAAACATGGCTTGAGCATCAAAGTATCTTCCCCAAGATATTTATCAGTTATAAAGAGAAAAATACTGACTTTGCAGAGGAGAAATCCAGCATACACCATTTTAAACAAGTGACTAAGATTAACACCAATAGTAATAAGACATACAGGCATCATAAGCCTACAATGAAGACACAGCATCATTTCTATAGTATCTGCACCAAAAAAGCAGACCACAATTTAATCATGAGAAAACATCAGGCAAACCCAAATTGAGAGACATTCTACAAAACAACTGACCAGTATTCATCAGACATGCCAAGATCATGAAAACAAAGGAAGAATGAAGGATGTGATGAGTCCTGGGTGTTATACACAACTAATGAATCATTGAACATTATATCAAAACTAATGATGTACTATATGTTGCCTAATTGAATTTAAATTAAAAAAAGGAAGAATGAGAAACTGTCACATTTTGAAGGAGAATAAAGAGACAGAACAAATCAATATAATATGTTATCATCGACTGGATCCTGGGAAGATAGAGGACATTAGGAAAAACAAAACAAAAACCCAGTGAAATCTGAATAAGCCCTGTAGTTTACTTAATATTATTGTACCAATGTTTAGTTCCCAGGTTTTGATAACTATATTATATTATGTAAGTTTTTAGAAGAATTTGAATGACAGGTACACGGAAACTGTACCATCTTTGCAATTTTCCTGTAAGTCTAAAATTATTTCAAAATAAAAAGCCTTTAAACTCTGGATTGAAAGAAAATCCTAAATATTAGTTCCCCAGGATTATTGAAGTTTTCAATTGATCAAACAGAAAAGTTCCAAAGAAAACCAGGTGCAAGATGACACTCTTACTTTGTTTTTCTTGTCTCTATATTTTTTTAATATGAACCTACATCAAAATTATACCAGCATTACTGAAATTTCATTAAGACTGTGTTTTCTGACATGAATTACACCAAGACAATTGGGTTTACTGAAGAATTTTCCATCTGAAAGAAATAATTTATAAGTTTTCCCTTTTTTTCCTGAAAAATTTCCATTGAATGAATTCATGTCTATACAATTAAATTAAGTCAAAAAGTTGATTTTTTTTCCATTCCAAATTTAGTAATTGTTAAGTTTTCTTCTGAGGATATTACTTTTAGTATTATTACTTTCTTGAGTGTGATTTTAGTTGTTAATTTAATTTTGTGTTTAACTCTACTAAGTACACTAACTTTCCTCAGGCTAAGTTTTGCTTCCTAATGTCAAAAATTACATGCAAGTCCTGTTTGTTTATTAGCTATGTAAGGTTACCAGCTGTCATTTTAGTTTTAGCTGCTTTTTCTATGTATATATGAATTATTTCTATCAG